AACACTCTTCTGATAGCTTACTAAATTTAGCAGCGTCTGGTCGTCTTTCCTTACTATATGGGACGGAGGTACAACATAGTAAAAAAAAGAAAATGTACAATGAAAATTTCGGATCCTCATAAACGTCATCGTTCTTTTCCAGCCGTCCTGGAAAAGAAAAAAGAAAATGTAAGTGCATGTCGAAAATACACTCGTATATGCGTAAAAACACAAGGTCGGCGGAAAAAAAATGGAAAATAAACTCATGAGCACGTAATAGCGTTAAAAAATTGTTTTTTTTGTTTTGTTTTTTTTAATAGAAATAAAAATATATAAGCATATTAAAATTGTTTTTTTTTCAAAAAAAAATAATATAAAATGTCGAGAAGTGCCTTACGTGCAATAGTCGTTTAAATGTTCTGGAAATCTCACCCTTCTTCCAGAACGCGTCGTTTTAAGTTTATTTTCGGATACTGTCGAAGTATCTTCGTGTGCGTTGGTTGTCGGATGAGGTATTATTAGTGTCTGAGTCGTGTCGTTCGATTGTACCGAAGGAAAATCGACGTGGATAGGATTTCCTTCTAAATACGCTGCTTTTAAGCGATCGATGCTGATGCTATCGTTGGTTCCGTTCTTATCGACTATATAGTACTTAGATTCACGTTGAAGAACTTTGAAGGGTCCTTCGTATGCTGATTCGAATGGTCGTCGATGCGAGTCTCGACGAATGAAAACGTGTGTACTATATCGTAAGTCAGGTTGAACGAAAACATCAGTTGATTGAGGTCGAGTGGAAGCAGGTTTAACTGAACGCATTGCGTTTGTAAGCCTGTTCGTGTAGGAGGTTAGATCCATGTTCATCGAAGAGCACGAAGGATCCACGAATTCTCCTGGAAGTCGAAGTGTCGTTCCATAAACGAGTTGAGCCGCAGTGTATCCAATGTCAGCTTTCACTGCATTGCGGATACCTAGTAAGACGAGTGGAAGAGCGTCGGTCCATTGTGAAACGTTTGCAGCTGATAGCGAAGCTTTCAGTTGTCGGTGAAAACGTTCTACCAACCCGTTTGCTTGGGGATGGTAGGCGGTCGTTCGGAAGCGAGTGATTCCTAAAAGTGTGGTCAGACGACGGAAAAGATCAGATTCAAACTGACGTCCGCGGTCTGTAGTGATGGTTGAAGGGCAACCGAAGTTTGCTACCCATCGTTCGACGAATGTGCGGGCCACTGTTTCAGCAGTGCTGTCCTTGATAGGTACTGCTTCTGGCCATCGAGTGAAACGGTCTACGCAGGTTAAGAGATAAGAGTATCCATTTGAATCTGGTAAAGGTCCTACCAAATCCAGATGAACATGGTCGAAACGAGCATCGGGAGTTTTAAACGAGCCTAAGGGACATTTATTGTGTCTGATAACCTTAGATTTTTGGCAGCTTACACAGGAGCGTGCCCACTCCCTCACGTCTTTATTCATGCCAGGCCAGCAAAATCGTTCTGCTATAAGCTTGATGGTTGCACGAACACCTGGATGAGAAAGTTTGTGCAATGTGTTGAAGACATTGCGTCGATAATGTTTCGGCACGATTGGGCGATCCCTACCTGTAGATGTGTCACAAAGTAAGGTTTCCTTACCTGTTCCCATCTGTTTGATGCGTAGTTTAAGTGTTGTGGACGATAACTCGTGCTGAAGATCACTGTCTTCTTTTTGAAGCTCGGCGAGTTTAAGAAGGTCGATTCCTTGGAAACTGTTCAAGGAAGTTATACGAGATAAAGCGTCTGCAACTACATTGTTTGCTCCAGAGATGTGTTGAATATCTGAAGTAAACTGCGAAATGTAGTCCAGTTGTCGAGACTCACGGGGAGAGTACTTGTCAGAAGGAGAGCTTAACGAGAAAGTGAGCGGTTTATGGTCCGTGAAAAGAGTGAATTCACGGCCTTCGATATAGTGTTGGAAATGCCGTACAGCACAATACATAGCTAGGAGTTCCCTACCGAATGTGCTGTACCTCGATTCGGTGTCTAGCAACCTTCTAGAGAAAAATGCCAAGGGTTGCCAGGAGTTGTTAACCCATTGTTGTAAGACTCCTCCGATTGCTGAGTCGGATGCGTCTACTGCGATGCTAATGGGTGCTCGGGTGTCCTGATGTGCGAGCATTGTTGCTTTAGCAATCAGTTCCTTGACTGTGGAGAATGCTTTTCGTGCGGTGTCGTCCAAATTAATGGATTTCGCATTTCCACGAAGTTGGTCGGTCAGAGGTTTCATAAGTGATGCGCATCTGGGTATGAAACGTCTATAGAAACTTACCAGGCCGTTGAACGTGCGTAATTGCTTGACGGTGGTCGGTTCTGGGTAATCCAGAATGGCCGCCACTTTGGTTCTAAGGGGTCGGATACCTTGAGCATCGATAGTGTGTCCCAGAAAGTCTAACGAGTCGGTTCCAAATTGGCATTTCTGAACGTTTACAGTTATGCCATGTTTTTGTAATCGTTCGAAAACAAGGTCCAGATGCTTGAGATGTGTTTCTCTGTCCGGACTTGCGATTAGACAGTCGTCAACATACGCGTGTACGAAGTTGAGACCTCGAAAAACGTCGTCTATGAATCTTTGGAATGTTTGAGCAGCATTCCTTAGACCGAAAGGCATTCGCAAAAATTCATAGAGTCCGAAGGGAGTTATGATAGCCGTTTTCGGTATGTCGTCAGTAGCCATAGGGATTTGGTTATACGCTTTAACCAAGTCGATTTTCGAAAAGACAGTTGTACCTTTCAAGGTAGCTGTCAAATCGTGAATGTGAGGCAACGGGTAACGATCGGGAATGGTTTTCGCGTTCAATCGCCGATAGTCACCAGTTGGACGCCAATCGTTGCTGTCCTTTTTAGGGACCATGTGCAACGGAGATGCATATGGGCTACTTGACGGTCGTATGATTCCTAAGTCCATCATGTGATCGAATTCGTTTTTCGCTAACCTTAGCTTTTCAGGAGCTAGTCGTCGTGCTTTAGAAAATACAGGTGGTCCTGTAGTCGTGATGTGATGTGTAACATTGCTGGTTACACACGGTAGTTTCGTTGAGTTTGTTGTATCCCAGGGTACTTATCGAGTAGTGGTTGATAGAGTGGGTCTATCATATGTTTAACTGTGACTGGGGATACTCTACAACCAGTAAAAGAAGTTACGCAAACGGACAAATTAGTGTTTCCGTCTACTAGCCTCCGTTTGCGAGTGTCGATGATCAGATTGTGGTGTTGTAGAAGGTCCATACCAATGATTGGCATAGAAACATCTGCAACGACGAAAATCCAGTGGATGGGTTTGCGTAAACCCACGTTAAGGTAAACGTACCTTTTGCCATACGTAGCGATCGGTTTTCCGTTTGCCGCCTGTAAGTTTAGGGTCGATTCGTGAAGTCGGTCGTTAGGATTTGCTGGGAGAACGCTAACTTCTGCGCCAGTGTCGACGAGGTAGCGAACTCTCGTTGTCACATCTGTGACGAATAACAGACGGCTTTGTTCGCCGGCTACGGTTGCCGTTAACGCGTGCCGGCTTGGAAGTTTCCCGAATCAGTCGGTTTCGTGTTGGGAAAATTGCAGGGTTTTCTGCAATTTCTGGAAAACTTTCCATACTGGTTATGATACCAGCACCAGTCGGGGTTATCTGTCTCTCGTGGTCTAGAGACAGATCGCTTACGAGAAATGCTTCTACGTGGTGTGCGCGATCTCTTACGGTCGGTACGAAGACTAAGATAACGCGTGAGTGTGTGACATAAGTCGGTTATGTCATTCTGAGTCGTGTGAGGCTTTTCTTTGACTGAAAATACCTCGGTAGTAGAAGGTTTCGTAATTTCTAGAATGCGGTCGGCAGATACAGCTAGTTCGTCTAAGGCGTTGTTCTGGAACGAGACCAGAACTGCTTGCACCTGTTGGGGAAGTTTTGACAAGAAGAGTTGTTTGAATAGACCTTCGTCGAAAGTTCTTGGGCCTATAACCTCTCTCATCCGTTGCAACATGTCCGTCGCAGAACCGTGTTGCAGGTCGATATTGTTGAAGAGTTGATCTAACCTTTGTCGATCGGTTAGGTCTCCTCGTTTAAGAATCGAGCGTTTTAAGATTTCGTAAGGATCGGAAACATCACTAGTAAACATACTAGGTGTTACGTACCTGTTGAATTCCCGCGGCAGTGCCTTGACTACTGCGAGGAATTGTGCACGTGTGTCGATCACGCCGTGCTCGGAAAAGTCGGCTTCTGCGTAGCAAAACCAGGCTTCGATGTTGTCGGGCCAGAAAGGCATCAGTTGAAACGAAGGTGGGGACAAGGTCTTAAGCTTGAGTACTTTAGGTGTCTGTTCAGTCATGATGAAATATGAAGTACGATAATGAACGAGGGGAAAATATATATATATATCCAAGAAAAACACGAAAAAAATCAAAAAAAAAAAAAAAAAATAAAAAATAAGGCAATGATATATAAAAATCCCAAAAAGGAACAGACTCACAGTTGCAATAAGGTGTACCAGATCACGACGGTCTCACCAATGATGATGTCACAGGTATTCAGTGTTTGACAACGCTTCTACCAGTAACACCTTCTAATATGTTTCGTTCCCACCAAGAGAAATCAAAAGACAGAGTCGAGGAGATCGGAAGAGTATATTTGGCGATGACCAATATACCGGGATTCTCTGATCTAATCTGGCTAGCGATTGTGGTTGATGTTGAGCACGGCGTTACTACACGTGATCTGGTGCGGATGCCTGACCGAGCGCCTTCAGCTAGATGAGTCCACTAAAACATATGGTCAGCATCCAATGTCGAAAACTTACAGAGCTATTTATTTTAGGGATTTATTTACCGCTACATCCTTTTTATTGTTAACATACCTAGGTCCCTGCCTGGAGGTTTCGGTGATCCACTGCTACCAGTGACGGAAGCCTGCTGAACGAAAGCTTCTTATATTCCGTCCACGACCATTTGAACCATGTGAATCCAAGTGATCTCGGCATTTGACATTGCGCTGTTAAAACCGATAGCGGTAATTCGTTCGGTGGCGCTACTCCCGCATTTAGCGTATATGAAATGCAGACCTCCTTTTGTTTATTTTGTGCGTTGTTTTTCATATTTGGCGACATTCATGGGGACGAGCTCCCTAAAGGAGTTCCGCTATCGAGTAGATAAACTTTTCCCTGGGTAATTCTTTTCAGGATCTTCGTTTTATAAACTTGGGGAGTCGTTTACTTGCCTAGATGGCTCTTCAGCTATACCATGGTGGCAAGTGAACGACGATTACTGTGATTGCCGTGATGGATCAGATGAACCCGGCACATCTGCTTGTCTTAATGGTCGTTTTTTCTGTCGCGATATGCAGTACAGACCTGTGTACCTTCCTTCTGCTTACGTCAACGACTCTATTTGTGGTAAGTTATTTACACGAATTGTGATTTTATTACGTGACCTTCTGGTGTTAAGGTTCTTGCGATGTCATTTTGTTAACTGAATTTACGGGCGTCTGTTCAAGGGCTTTCGTTAATTTTATTGCACATCTTATAGACTGATAAAAGTCTATTATAGAAATCTGTTTCTTAAAACTAGTCGATACTTCATCCTGTTAGACTCTAAATACGATGCTAAGTAGAACGGAGTCATATGTAGACTGACATGTGTAAGTTATATGGGGTAAGAACTTCGTACGTACGAAGTTTTTCGTTGTTAATGACTGACCGATATAGTGTAAGAAAATGAATAGAAAAGTCAAGTCACAATAGGTGGCTGTTCATATTCTCCAGACTCCAGAATCTTGACTCGTCTATACCGTCTTATTAAAGTTCAAAGCCTGGGTCTGTCATTAAACTGGCAAACTGATAAGTTTCTCTTTGAACGTAAAACACTTCTCATGTGTCGAGTCTGTGGCACCTGTCAAGCTTGCCTGACCACTTAAAGTGGATTTGTTGGGAAAGTGCACTTTCTTTGTCTTAAGGATCTTGTCATCCCTGATAATTCTGTAGTGAAAAGGCTGGTGGGATAGAAGACAAAGGTAGCGTGAAGATATCTGGCTTATTAGTAAATGTCGATTTGACTATTCATTAGTTCTCTAATGACAGTTTTCTCTGATAACTAAAAAATTCCCCCTGAAGATGAGGGAAATCCATACGTTAGAAGTACTGGATGACAAATATTTGATGTATCGCTGGAGTACGGTAAAGCTATCTAATAAACAATCTTGTGATTAGATGCATCATACTTCATAGAGAGAAAATCAATTGATGAGGCTATGGATCTTCATCGATCCTGGTGATTAAAATATATGCTACTGAAACATGGCGGCTGTTTTCCATGACTTGTAGTGTTGTCTAGCCAAGTAGCCCGTTGGAAGAATGCTAGAAAGTACCAAATCAAGATGCGTCATCTGTCCATGAAGTCATTGACCTTTGGTTTGGATTGTATTAGTAGGTGCTAACTAGCTAGTTGGTTTGTAGTATTCAACACAAAAACATGAACTTACTGTTTGCATTATTGGTTAACATGGGAAATGAATATGGACCTGATTTTTAATTCTAACTATAAATGGTTGGGATTCTTATTGATTTGTCTAAGACTTAGTGTTTGGATTTGAATAATCTTTCAAAGTCATATTTCGTTTTGATCATCAGGTGGTACATCTACAGTGTCTAATATCAACTAGCATAATCGGTTCAGTGAATTCTTTCCGGCAATCGCACATTACGTAAACTAGAATTCAGTTTTGTGTATTTTACTTAACGAGATAGCGTTTACTCAATTTATAGATAAAGCACTTCTAATTTTTAGATTGTTGCGATGGTGGTGATGAATACGGAAGTTCTACCAATTGTCCGTCAACTTGTGGGTAAGTCCTTTTGCTTGTGATTTATTGAATCACGTGATAATCTCAATAAACGTTATCTCGTCTATCGTGATAAATGAAGGTAGTATCATAGCTTTTAACGTAGCTAGAAATATCTATTAACACGTTAAAGAGAAAGTTGTTCGACAGAGAGATCTCTATTTGAAAATTCTGTACACAAATCTTCACGAGATTTTCAAAAACCCCATAAAGTGTTATTTACATGGAAATTGAAATTAGTTCTGTCATACTGTATCGTCTGATTACGTGATCATTGTGATATTCACTTCTCACTGCATTTGTGTCTACCGGGCCAGATGTTTGGTAGACCATTGTAAGTCACTCCTTTGAAATAAATATATAAATAATTGAATCAAATGAACACAAATTTAAATTGTAAACAGGAACACAGGAGAATATTTATTTCAGTAGAGGTCTAAATAGGTCTAACTATGTCACCGTCGTGTGAAATGCTTGATCGAAGGGATTCTGTATGAGATATCACTGTGTGCATTTGTATATACAATGTTTGGTATGAAAAATGTGAGATTTGTAATATGAAGGATTGTGTGTGCATGTGTGTTAATTGTTTGAGAAATGACGAGTCAAATGTAGTTGTTTGGATAAATAGTCGGATGAATTTCAGACCTTTTCTATTGAGGGGAGGGGGATTTAGTATTTGTATGCAACGCTTCGAGTACTCATCTATTTTTATAATTGGTAAGACCTTTCTGAATTATTGTGGTATTTTTAATGTTGATTTAGTGGTCATTGAAAATAGTGTTTTGTTGTAGTAATTAATTCACTGTTATTTTGCATACGAGTGAGCTGCTCAGCTGATTATCATCGAAACTGGTTCATATATTATTGATTTGTAATGGACACAAATTCTATCTTCTCTGGTTTCTCTCACTGAATCTTTCTCAACATGGTGGTTTTCTGGAATGGCTGGAGATAGAAGATAAATATAACTGTCGTATACGTTATGGAAATTGTTGTTAGAGTCATCGTCGCTTATCCCACCTAGTGACAAAATGCACACCGAACTATTGTGTCATGAAATTCTTCGATATTTATTCAGAATTTCACTTTAACTACAATCGGTCTGAGTCGACAAAGTTTTATACGTGGAGGGATTTTGTCAATGGGCAACCTTTCAAGTATGAGACTCAAAATATATTGTGTGGTTGACTCCCCTAACTGATTCACTGCTTAGTGTCAATTTAAATAATGACAGATTGGTTTTAAAGCAAAATGCTGCATTTGTACACTTATAAATCCATTTCAAAAATCTAATATTGTCCCGCTTAGGGTGCTCACAATGTGACCTTCATTGTACGTTAAAGTAGTTTATTGATTCTCTCCAATACAGTAGATGATTGGAGTCTGGTCTGTCTTTATTCATTTTTAATTTAGTATCAATGATTTTTAACTCTGTTCGGTTCTCTGATTAAGTCGAATTATCTTGACTTTAAGAGAGATCATTCTAATTTTATTTATTTTTCACTGAAAGTAATAGGAATTTTGTTCGAAGTCATTTGTGATAAATTCTCTATATTGTCTTTTATGTGATATGTTAAAAATGTCTTTATAATAAGTTTTGATTTATATCACAACTTATATATCACTTGATATTAATTTAAGGCTGGGTGAAATACTCGGAGACCTTTCGTTTATTGTTGTCTCTCACTCATTAGTTGCTATTACAAGACAACTTTATAGTTCTTTTTAAGCAAAGATGGATAGTGGCTAACAGTGGAATCCAGTTTAACGCGCGTTCCATCCTATTTGGGACTCATCAGCTGAATTTACCTGCATCCCAGAGTTGATTTTCTCTCCGGGACTCAAACCTGGCACAGTTCGCTTCAAACGTCACCGCGTTATCCACATAGCTACTGAGTCCTGATAGCCACCTCACACGGCCACGCGTATACAGCCTCTATACGCGTGGCCATGTGAGAGCATTTCGAGAGGGGAGCGGACTCTCCCCACTCTCGGCCGTACCAGGGCATTTATTAAAATCAATGTATTATGAAGTCAAACTGTTATAGAATGTAAACTAAATGATATTAAGAATTTAATTGAATATGTAATGATCACAATTTGTGTATATAACCATAATATACAGATTATAGGTCTGTTTTCTAATCTCTCTCTGTCTTTTCATTACGTATGTAAACAGAACAGCAACCATTTAGGTTTAACATAGGTAATTGATATATAGACATGCTTTTTTTCACTGTTTGCTTATTTCTATCCTTTTTGTATGCATGTGTATACTTAGCTCTTTGGCTGCATCTTTGCGTGAAGCACAATCCATTAAACGAAATCAAATTGAACAGGGACATAAAATTTTTCAAGAATACGTCACGAACGTAAGTTTTTTTAAAATTTTATTTATTTACTTATTTAAACACATAAATATTGGTACAAGGAGGCACCAAATATATATGTTCCACACAAATCATTCGATTTGTGTGAGGGTTGGGATGCTGCCCGGATGCTCAAACTGAAGTAGATATTTTTCTTGGAGGGGTCACTCCCCGAGCCTTTGACTTAGAGGTATGATCCATAAAGCGATGGAACAACGTAAGGAGATGCAGTCTCATTGTAGCTGGTGACCAAAAATGGGTTCATATGCCTTATTAATTCTCGATGGTTAGGCTCGCCTGTCTTTATCACTTGATAGTGGGATTCCAAAATGGCTGGGTTGATGTTGATAAGGTTCCGGCTTAAAGACGAATGTATGCTATTGACTATTGGATATGGAGGGAATCAGATGCTTCCTACGATTTGTTGTCATGAACAATGCCGTATTCTAACATGCAAAGAGAGGTTTTAAAAATTATCGGCCTTAAAAATAACACAATATACCTTGTTTCATTTAATTTCAACCTTATCTATAAGACTCAAAGACCACCGGGTTAACTCAAGCAAACCTACTTACAAAAAGGGCTTTTTTTAACCAGCCTCAAACATCTGTCCCTTGTGTTATTTCGTCACTCTCCGAGGTCGGTAGAGCCCTCCTTAATAATGCCTCTTCTTTTTGATGTTCCTCAATAAGTATCACTCCACAGTGTGAGCTACTGAAACCTATAGATCACTGTCTCACAGCTAACTGTAGGTCTTTTTTAATTCCATGTTGATAAATAATTTACCATTATTTAACTAATCATTTAAATAATGTCTATTGTGTGCGTGTATTTGTTTGCGTAAAAGTCAACAGTACTTGTTGTGTATTGCGTTGTCGTTTATCACAATCCTAAATTCACATGCTTTAAACGAAGTATTTTGCCCTTAATCTGGCCATTTTTCGGATTATTAATTTGGATATATAATTGTAGAACCTGAAGAGAATATATAGAAAAGAATATTCTTCGTTCAAATATTAGTCTTTTAATATGACGGGGATCTTTAAACGATTAAAATGTTGTGTATCCGTTTAAAGTTCGATGAAGAACGAGAGAGGAAGACCAAAAACTTCAACTTTTCGTCGATTCTTTTTTTACTCCATCTAAAATGCATGGTTTATGTAATTTATGTATCTTTTTTTAGACTTAATTTCTTTCTTTTCCGATTTATGTTGTTATGATTACAAGTTAAAAGAACGTAAAGCGAAAGGACTTTTTAATGAAGAAAAACAATATGATGAAACATTGAAACTTGCGGAATATGATGTCAATAGTGATAGTAGTAGTAGTAATAGTAATGATAATAATGATAATGACAATGAAGGAAGTATTCAAACAAATGAAGAAAATGTTGATTCTCATTTATCGGTTGGTGAAGAGAAACAAGCACTGAATGAACCGTCATCATCGTCAATTGATTCGAATCAACAGTCGTTTACACATGATAATGACAATACACTTATCGAACATGAAGCATCTTCATTAAGTGATACGGAGTCTCATGAGAAAAAAGCAAGTGAATACGATGGGCATCATGTTGGTGGTGAAGACAGTCATATGGATTATGACGAATCAAATGTTGCTGTTACTGATAAACAACTCGACGACGAATCACATCATGGTACGGATGAATGTATTGATAATGATTTTTCTCTATTGTGAATTAAAATTAATATTTAGTGTGGATTACATATATAGTTACAATCGGTGTCTAAAAACTTTGAGCTATACTTACTTGAATTTCGCTAATATTCAAATACTCTTTATGTTGACATGTACACGTTGTAATTTTCTATGTATGATGTCACATCGTCAGCTATTTTTTCCATGTTATTCTGCGAGTTTCGAGTTATAAGTGAACCATACAATAGGAGTTTTATCTGTTAGCTGTGTACGTGGTTCATCTGGTTCCCTCACACTAGAGGGAAAAGTTGTATCTTGAATTAGTAGACAATAAAATACGATCGTTAAATGATTGGCCAAACTGGTTATTGGTGAATTGGTCAACAACGGACTCGATACAACAACTGTTATTATAGTTAGTAATCCAATCACAGGGCTAGCGAAATGGAGATAAGTAGTTTATGCTATTTGAAGCCACGATAAAAGATGACGGAGGGGAAATTAACTGTGAGACCTGGCTTTTTCTATTTTCTAGATATTTTAACTATATTTCCAAGCATTAACTCTACTCGGCTAACGTGATTTGCTGTTGGAGGATTGAATGCTTTTGTGTAGACTATTATGAACGATTGGATTATTTTCTCTCCTTCCACTCTGCTTTTAATAGTGCTCTATTAAATATATCAATAAGTTTTTCAACTTGACTGTTTGATTGTAGTTGATAGGGACGAGTCTCGATATTTTCGGTGACATTTAAAATGAAAAATTTCGAATGTTCTAAAGATGTGATGTGCGGTCCAGTGTCTTATTCCGTATCTACCTAGCAACCTACACGGGAATTATTGTATGTGAACAATACTTTGAAAATATTTATGATAATACACCAGCAACTCATGGATGTTATAGAACTTCAACACCTGTGTTTCACATCCGTGAGTTAATAACAGAGCATGTTCCTGGGCTAGTATGCTGGTCGTTTGGTAGACAGATGAGGATTTTGACTTCTTGTTATCTTAACGCTACAATTTTACCAATTAGTAACAGTTTCTGTAATTAGTATTTATGCGATTATGTTTTTTGTTTGATTTTCAATCTTTCCCTGTTTATATATATTTTTTCAAGAAATCCCAGAAACCCCATCACCCGATGAAAAACCTGTTATTAAAGAGTAGGTTTCTCATAAATCATTCTTTTTCTTGTATGATTTTGTTTATATATTGAACATGTGTAAAATACCAGATCATTTAATGTTTATAGTAGACAAAATCTCGCGAGGCGGGATCGTGGATGCGCACTGTTAAGGAGTCCCACGATAGGACGAAACGACCGTCCAGTGCTTCCAGGTTTCCCATAGTGGTCTAACTTCAATTGAATCAATTGAACTCAACTATTGAAATCACTATGATATCCACAAAAAGTCCTGAAATTCTACTAATGCAATGTATCGAACAATATGTATGAATTATTCTCTATTGTTCAATGTATTTGATACTTGAAAATATATCTGTCTGTCACTTATCGACAGAATGTAGTTAATATTACGTTTTTTAATGGTAAATACATATGGAATAATGAAATCAGTAATATAATGTACTTTTGAGACGAAATTTTGATTATAAACATAAATGAAAAGAATACGGATAGATTGACATGAAATAGCAAAATGGATGGCTACTCACTAGACCATGAACTCTCGATGTGAACCCTCGAATAATTCAAAGTCAAAGAGTAGATTCATTAGCCAGAATAATCGGTTTTTTTATGCAATAAAATAATTTTTAAATGACTGATAAAAACCAGTATTTAGCTCACTCACTATCCAATCAATTATGACTCAATTGTTAGACTTAAATCTTGTCTATGACATCATTTTGTTGTGCATAATAATCTGTTATTTCAATCTGTTTACTATTTTTTCACACAATAATGATCATTTTATTGAATCTCAATATTTCATTATGTGTTTAATTTAAAAAACTTGATTATTTATTGAAACACGTAAACCTTGTTACTAGGCGGCACCAAACAGATATGCGTCACACAAACCATTCGACTTGTGTGAGTGCTACAATACTGCCCGGATGCTCGAGCCGAAGCAGACAGTTTTCTTAAAGGAGTCACTCCTCGAGCCTTTGACCTAGAGTCTTGATACACAAGGCAGTGGAGCAATGTCACGAGATGCAGTCTCATGGTAGCCAGTGACCAACGATTGGTTCATACACCATTTGTTCCCTCACGATCCTGGAGCCAGCCCATGTGCACCATTGGTTTAGAATCAGGGTTTTCTAACTCTCCTAGGTGAACCCTCCATATTCACCAACCCAGTTAATGCGCCAGACATTTACTTTTCGTCTTCTCAATTTCGTGAACGACGATAAAGCAATGAGTCGCACTTCCCTGGTAGTAGTTGTATGCACGTAACCATGTGAGAGCATTTCGAGAGGTAGAGCTGACTCTCCCCACTCTCGGCCATACCAGGGCATTTGGGGGCAGCCAATCACTATGATTATCGGACGCTAATTTTCGAGATCTCTGAATTAGCTAGTAAACGTGACTACTATGTATGATTTTAAATCTTTTATCTTGATAAATACTACAATAAGTAAATCTACTAAAGAGTTAATACTTATTACTTATTTCATTAGTTATTGAAATAACACAGAAGATAGGTAACACACAGATGGATGTATTCTTTGAGTTGAGTAGTGGGTTTACTTTCAGTTATTTTATTGTCGTTCTAAATAACATTATCAGAGTTTACCTCATATAGAATTAGACTTTCGAATTATTTCACAAGTGTTAAATCAACTTGTTCTGATGACACTTTCACTGATTACCCTTCAGGTTATGTTAGCTTCATTTGTCCTTGTATTTTTGTTGGTTGATTTCTAGCCAATGTGATATTGACCTTTTTTGATCTCTGTCATGATGTCTAATTTCAGATTGACCTGAATGTTATACTTCAAGAAATTCTTTGACATTCGTAAAATCTCTTCGATACTAAATTTCGTTAGTTTCCCAATCAAGTTTGTGTCCGTGGTTGTCTTCATATGTTGACGTATGTCGTTCTGTTGGTGCTTTAGACTCGTTTGTATAGGTGTGTAGATGAGGCATTCAGGTTGGGATGTCCACTTTATCACAGTTGATACAATGTAGTTTTCTTTAGATATTATTGGATTTGTCTTGTTTTTCTGTTGACTGTTAGTTTGTATGAAAAATGGAATCGAGTGTATAGATTGGGTTGTGAGCACTTTTGTTTCTGGAAATTAACCGAATAAGACAGTTAACAAAGAATACAAAAGTAAATGAAACTGATAAAAAGTCCAAGGGCAATCATTTACTCATGTGATCATCACAACAGGCTTATTTCATGCTAGTAGGATAATTGAATAACTCATTTCTACGTAAATTAATTGATGATGATCCGTAGAGTAACAATAGAACAATCAGTAGGTGTCATTACCAAGGTTTGATTTCATAATTTCGAATAAATTGAGCATTGGGTTGATTGTTATAAATAAAAATAATATATTTGTAATATCCCAATGAGTAGAAAATTGGATTTTTCTGACGTTTCGTGGCTTAGTGTAAGTCACTTCTTCAGAGAATAAATAACCAAATTAAATTAATCCAAGTTTAAATAGTACAACGGAACAATGCAAGAATAATATTTGATCAATCAAAAACAGGTCTGAACAAGTTGATGTATGTCATTTCTGTCACGGTGATTCATAAGTGATAAGTATGTAAATTTGTGTATGTATGTATGTGTGCATTGTTAAAGAATGAAAACTGTGTGACCTATATGGTAAGAAAGGATAGAGTTTAAATTTGTAATATGATAGTGTGAAATTGTAAATACGATCAGACTGAATGGTTAGGATAGATGGTCCAAGTAGGATGTATGGTAAGGCCTTCTTTTCTATTGAGAGAAGTGGGATTAAGCATTATATGGAATGCCTCAGCTACCCTCCTTTCTTTGTAGTTGGAAAAGCCTTTTTGCAATATTTTGATATTTTTAAAATCGATTTGGTGGTTGTTGAAAATGGCATGAACTGCTATTGCCGATTTAATTTGAAGTTGGTTCAGTTCTACAGGATTGTTAGGAGGTTTCTTTGTGTACCTAATATGTTCTTTGGCTCTAGTCAAGATTTCGCGGGATGACTCTCCAATATAATAGGCATCACAATCGATACAACCTAATTTGTAGACGCAGTTCTGTGTGGACATGAACGGGATTTTTTCTTTCAAGCGAACTAAAGTATTACGTAGTGTGTTCGTTGTTTTGTAATACACTTTAATTCTGTGATGTTTTAAGATTCTTTGAATTTCTTCTGTTGTGCCATGACGGTATGGTAGGACTACAGTGCCAATCCAAGGCATTTCATTCGAATCATTATTATAATGTAATAAACTGTGTTGTTTTAATATGCTTCTAATAATCTTCATAGGAAAATTATTAAATTGTAAGATGCTAATTATATTCATTTGTTCTTTTTGTTTGTCTTCCTCTGATGTGATGATCTTGTTAGCTCTTCTAAAAAGATTTAAGGCTAGCGAGATCTTAGCACTGAAAGGATGTGCTGAATGGAAGTCAATATAACGATTTGAATGCGTCGGCTTTCGGTAGATGGATAGGTTTAGACTTCCATTTGGATTTCTTTTTACCAAGCAATCCAAGAATGGTAGTTCACCATGTACATTTTCATTTTCATTCGTGAATTTGATGTGCGATGAAAGTGTATTAATTCGTTTTGAAAAAGATCTTAGATGAGTCTTTTTTATAACAACAAATGTATCGTCTACATATCTAAGCCAAATTCGTGGTATAATGTTGTGGGCGAAGATATTTGATTCTATGTATGCCATAAAAAGGTTGGCTACAATCGGGGACACGGGGGATCCCATCGCTACACCGTTAGTTTGTTTGAACAACATACCGTTAAAAGTAAATAGCGTTGAATTTAAGCAAAGTTTTAAGGATTTCATGATTAGACTGATGCTCAACGGACATCTGTCAGGAAGAGTATTGTCGTTCTCAAGTAAACCACTAATGAATTCTAAGCATTTATCAATGGGAACACTTGTGTATAAAGAAACGACATCAAAGCTTACCATGATTTCATTCTTCTCGATGATTAATCCGGATAATTTTGATTTAAAGTCATATGTGTCTTTAATTATATTATGTAAGTTGAGTTGTAATGGTTTTAATATATTGCTTAAATATTTCGATAGTGCATATGTTGGGGTGTTTGTGAAGTCTACTATTGGTCTTAAAGGAATATCTGGTTTATGAATTTTTGGTAAGCCATAAAACCGTGAGACATTACATGATTTGGGATGCAAAGCAAACCAAAGCGAGACCCCAATGATTGGTTTTAGCTCGTTCAGAAGTTGATTTGTTTCTAATTTGACTTTATTCTTAATCGTTAGAGAAGTTTTGGGATTGATCTTTTCATAAGGTCCCGTTGAGAGATGTTCAAGAGCTTTATTAATATAATCTGTTTTATTCATGATTACTGTTGTGTTGCCTTTGTCGGCTTTTGTGATGATAATCGTTTTGTCTTTTTTAAGTGAATTCAGAGCCTTCAATTCTTCTTTTGAAATGTTTGGGGTAATGTGTTTTTGTTTCGTTAGAATATGGGATGTCTTTTGACGTAGTAAATGCGACTCTTTTTCCGGTAGTTGTGCGATCATTGGTTCTATAATCGGAGCGATTTCAAGAGTGCTAAGTGGTTTTCTGTGTAAATTGAAGTTTAATCCCTTCTCTAGTAGAGTGATTTCGTGACACATTACCCCAAACATTTCAAAAGAAGAATTGAAGGCTCTGAATTCACTTAAAAAAGACAAAACGATTATCATCACAAAAGCCGACAAAGGCAACACAACAGTAATCATGAATAAAACAGATTATATTAATAAAGCTCTTGAACATCTCTCAACGGGACCTTATGAAAAGATCAATCCCAAAACTTCTCTAACGATTAAGAATAAAGTCAAATTAGAAACAAATCAACTTCTGAACGAGCTAAAACCAATCATTGGGGTCTCGCTTTGGTTTGCCTTGCATCCCAAATCATGTAATGTCTCACGGTTTTATGGCTTACCAAAAATTCATAAACCAGATATTCCTTTAAGACCAATAGTAGACTTCACAAACACCCC